AAAAAAAAAAAACATTAGATTTCATGCTTGTCTATTAGACATTGACTTAAAATGGACATGAGAATTATAAGTTTTAGTGTAAATTCGGTATGAATTTCAGATGCTTCTGCAAATAAAACATGTGGAGTTGTAGATTAAAAAAAATGGCATTTGACTAGCCCAAACCTTGTTGGGTCAAGCTCAATTAATTGAATAAAGCCCCAATTAGCTACGAAGTGGATCAAGTCCAATTCATGGAATCGATCCGGTCCAAAGTTCAAAGAGTTCAGAAGGTATAACGCACGTAAGAAATAATTACTAGAATAGTTACTCTCAGAGATCAACTCTATCTTTAATTGTACATATTCTAGTTGTAACTATTCTCTCCGAAAATGGATCACTTATCCCTTCACACCACCACCTTAACCAAGGTTATGTGCCTATAAATTATAAGTCATCTTCACATGCGAGAGACATCTCTTTACACACTTGTATCTCTCTACACATACTTTTTACACAGCTCTCTCTCTAATAGTTACCTAAAACGTATCCTTACTCTTTCTCTCTCTCTCTCACATTTTACTTTATTAATACAGTCCTACGACCACCGTTGTCGCCTTTAAAGTGGAGTAGGTCACTCTGATCGAATCACTCTATATATGTGTGTTACCTGTGTTGATCTCACACTTATATTTACTGCATTTATCATCCATATTAATTACTCGACAGGTCATGTATAAATCTATTTTTGTGTATCATCAACATCAACGATTAATGTTTTCATGTCAGCATTTTATGACATGGTTTGTTAATACAATACAAGATTAGAGGGTTTGGGTTTTACTTAAACCACCCGTTTTCTATACCAGTGATTCTGACACGACATACTTAATAAATGAATCGAATATGAGTAAAATTAATAAAAAAAATATATATATAATTCGACTCGTTTATATATACATGTTATGAACTTGATATGACACAATTCATTAAACACAAATCTGCTTTAATTTAACACGAATCTGTCTTACCAGACACAATTAACAGAACTAAAATTAATGTATGACAACGCAGGCTGTTTTGGTAAAGGGAAGGCAGTTTTATCATGGTTGGCTAATAAGAGAAATATGCACACATAAAATTTTCTAGTTGATCTTTGATCTGTTTTTGAAAAACAAGGCTCGTATAATAGAATAAAAGAATTCATGTAGCCAACCACATGTGAAAATGAATAACAGGCGGGGGCGGAGTCAGAATGTTTTTGTAGTGGGGGCAAAAATCATAATAATAACTAATCAATCGAGATAATTTATTTTAAAATATAATTTATTCTAATCAAATTTAAAATTTTAGAATCTAATTTTTAAGAAAATAAAAATTAAGAATTTAATTATTGAGAGAATAATGACGGGGTGAAAAAAATTAAAAAAAAAAAAGTTAAATAAATTATAACAATCAAATCTCATCGCGATTTGACAAATATATTGAGTCATAATAATCGGTGATCAACTTGGTGTGTAAGAAAAAAAGAGAATTAGATTTAAAAGAGATCATTCCGAATAATATGAAAGAAGCGTAAGTCTAAACGTTTAATTCACAAAATAATCCAATTTTTTTTACCAATATTGGGGTCTAAAAATCTATCATAAATTATTTACCTAATAACACAACAATGGAGATATTAAAACAGTATTATTTTAATTAGAACTCTTTGATTTATTTTTTGAGACCACACCACCTAACACCTTATTAAGTCAGTAAATTGGTTTAGATTTTCGGACCAACAACTATTAGTGAAATATAGAATGAGTGATAAATTTAAACAAATTTTTAGTGGGGACGAATTTTAAAAAATTTATAAATTTATAAACATTTCGAAACTATATAAAAAAAATCTAAAATTGAACTAAAGACAGATGCCCCACTGCTCCTAGTGTAAATCCGCTGCTAATAAATATGTTTTTAATTAGAGCAACTCCAACCGAGTTGTCAAATCCCAACTAGACAACTCCAACGGTTCTTTTTGGCATCCCCTCCGCCTCCAACATTGATTAAATTTAATGTATAACATTTGACATCTCCCTCGGAGATGCTCTTAGTTCACTAATTCACTTCAATACGAAGGAGATACTCATCTAAATCAAGGACTTGACAACTGTACTAAAGCAAAAATTTTGGCACCATACCTATTTACTTTTACTACTTTAATGAATATTTTTATAATTTTTGTGAGTTATTTTATAAAAAAAAATCTTATCATTTTTGTTGATATTTTTATCAATACTGTAGTATTTATATCACATTTTTGATAATTATTTTTACCATTTTTTTCAATACAATCACTTTTTTGGATACCATAATAATGATAAAAATATCCATAAATATAATAAAAAAAAATAACCATAACTATGATAAATGGAACTATGGTACCTAAAAGAAAATTTGGAACCATAACTCCCAAATCAATCGTCTTTTGTCCAGTGATTTTGCTTCTTTTTCACATCAATACTGTACATTCTCTCTCTCTCTCTCTTTTTTTATGTGGGGTTCAAGGAGTTGTCTATGGTATTCAAATAAAAAATTTTGGTATTGTATCAATATTTATCATATTTATAAGTATTTTTATTATTATTGTGAATGTTCTTATCATTGTTAGAATACCGAAAAAAAAGTGATAAAAATAATTATTACAACACTAGTAAAAATACTTAAAACAGTCATAAAAATACTCACAAATTAGATAATTTTTTTGTACTAAAGAAAAGTGATAAAAATAATTATTACAACAGTGATAAAAATACTCATAAAAGTGATAAATCACCACAACAATGGTAAATTTTTTTATTATAAAATAACCTATAAAAATTATAAAAATACCTATTAAAATAATAAATTTTAAAAGTACGGTATAAAATATTTTTTGGATAGTCAAACCCTTCATTCAAACTATTGGT